GAAAAGAAAAAAAAAGTGGATGTTAAATGGCACCTATGGCATGAAGTAAAAAAAAAGAGAGAGAAGAGGAAGGCAGATGTTCAAAAGGAATATTAAATTTGATGTTGGGTGTAGAGAGAGTGAGGGTTTTTAGAATTTGGGGGAGGAAGAGATTCCATTTTGCTCCATCCTCCGCCGATATAATCCTTTGTAATGCAGAGCCCAGACGTACCGTCATCATATATTTATAGGAACACAAGAGATTCGCTAATTTCGCTGCTTCTGCTGTTACCGCCGCCCTCACGAAAAATTGGAGGATTCGATAAAAGCTCGCTCTTGCGCTTAGTTAAAACATCGCCGCCGCCGCCGCCGCCTCTCCTATTTAGTATTGCAATAATAATAAGTCTTTTGTATCTTTTGTGCTTGAGAGAGAAAAGGGGAGGTGTTGGGTCCTATTAATTTATGCACGTTCCGTTTGGGGGGAGGCGGATGGGGCGCGCCTGTACGTGCGACGGCGGCAGCCAGAATCAGTAGTCTGAGCGTACAATCCAGCAGTAATAAGTGGATCCTTGTTATCGTAGTTATAAACATAATATAATAATCAGATTTAATCAAGTTTGGATTGAGTCGAGTGAATTACTATGACAACCGGGGATCTGGGGCACACGGCACCAAAACCCCTTTCCATCCTTTCACAACCAAAGCCCCCCCCCACCCAACCACCCTCGTGCGCTCGCAACAAACCACCTTATCATGTACACACACAATGTATTTTCAAAGGACGACGTCGCGGCGCACTAATACCAACCCCTTCGAGCGAATTAAACTACCCCCCAAATACGTAATGCTCACTCTTTCCTAACTCCCCCAACCACCATTTCGTCATCTCTTTCGCAGATCAACGGCAACTGTTAGAGCGGCAGAGAAATATCGAAAATCGGGAGACGATTAGGTTTTGAGGACAAACAAGAAAACTCCCTGTTTGTTTATTTATTTATTTATATTTTTTTACTCCATCTCTCTCGCTCCCCTTTTTTTGCAGTCTACTGTTTTAATCCGCTCTTTGTAAATTCTTCCATCCGCTTAAACCCCGGCGCCAGGAGGGTGGTGTTGGTGGAAAGGGGTTTTTGGGGGACGGCGGAGCCGAAGAAAAACAACAGCAGCAACAAGACGGCTTATTTTACTAAACTCGGTGCGATATCGTCCCGTTTTATTTGCCCCAAAAACACACGATTTAACCGAACCTGATTCCACCCTCCCCCACAAATACAAGCAATTCAATCCTTTTTTTTTTCTTCGGTTCATTTGAAACGAACCCCTTTTACTTCGACGATTCTCAAACGCTAAATCTCTCGCTTTCCACTTCACAAATGATTCTGGATATTTTCACAACAGTTAAGACATTAAAAAAACAAGAAATATTACAACTTCAATTCAATAATTTAATTATTATCATTAGAACTAGTTAATACTTTTTACAGTTTGTTTTAAACCAAATTAAAATGCTAAATATTTTGATTTAAAATTTACAAAATATCCAGATTTACAACAAATAATTAAAAAAATTACATTATAATGAAAGAATTAGTAATTATTTCTTGAAAAGAAATTGATTGTAAATATTATTATTATAAGTATAACTAATTTAATTAATCACGTAGAGAAAAATATATATTTGATGTATTTATAACGTTTGAAGATATTTTATATTCAATAATTTAATTATTACCATTAGAACTAGTTAATACTGTTTACAGTTTGTTTTAAACCAAATTAAAATGCTAAATATTTTGATTTAAAATTTACAAAATATCCAGATTTACAACAAATAATTAAAAAAATTCATTATAATGAAATAAGAAGTATAACTAATTTAATGAATCACATAAAGAAAAAATATATATTTGATGTATTTATAACGTTTGAAGTTATTTAATTTGATTGAGATTTAGTGTAAAATAACTTAAAGTAATACCGATTAAAGAAACCTTACTGCTAAACAGGCTTTAAAGGTATTCCACATATCATATTTCAATTTACAATTAATAAGCGATAAACGTTAAATGCGATTTGACCGAAGCCATACATCTTCCACATTATTCACATGAAATCAATAAAAATTACTTTACTACACGAAAACCAAATTTATATTTTATGTTTATTTCGATTCAACAACAAAAATTAATATATTTAAAGTCTATGATTTATTTTCAATGTTTTTTTTTGTTAGTTTTGACAAATTATTACACGAAAACTGTGATTACCACAAAAACAGAAATTAATTTCGTTCCGATTTACGGTTACGTTCCAAGTAAATGTTTATCGTTCCAGATTCGGTTTTGGTTCGTCCAAAAAATTTCGGTTCAGTTCTGATTCGGTTCCGGTTCAGTTCTTTAATTTCATTTAAAATCGAAAAAAAGCAATTTAAATTGGTTAGTTAAAATTTAAAATCTAGTACAATATCAAATTTTGATTTAATTTTATTTACCTTACTATTGATTTCATTTATAAAATTGCTGTTTCTTCAGACATGATTACAGTAATCACTTTCATTTCAGTTTCTTCTAATGTTAGTTGCGCAAGACTTGTGCTTGCCCTTTCTTCTTCAAATTTTCTCTTTTTAGCCGGTGGTTGATTGGTGGTGATTGAACATTTATTTATATTGATGATTAAGCGTTCCCACGGAATTCCCCTATTCCTTGATGGTTTTGTATATTATGTATTTGTTTATTTGAAAAAAATAATTCGTAGTATTCAAAGAGCATACATGAAATAAAGCGATTATGAATTAATTTAATGAAAACAAAATATTAACTGAAATGTTTACGGTTTTTGGTTCGGTTCCGGTTCGACTCTCAGGTTTTAATATATAATCTATTTATATTAGTTTTCTAGTAATTAAATAAAATGTGAAGATACTGCTTATTTGAAAATTATTCAAATATCCTTACTTTTGTCTTTAATACTGATAGTAAGTATTTAATCTAACTTTACTATTAGTTTTACAATAATTAAATAAAGTTAAAGCTTATTTTTAATACGACAAAATATTACAGCAAATTTATATATTTTGGATGAATTAATTCTATTTTTCTATAGATTTTTTATAGTAAGATGAAAATGGATCATATTACACAAGTGCATCTAATATAGTTTTTTTTTCATCGATTCAAAGAAAATTGTCTTAGCAGAAGTGAAGGCAATATGAAGCAGCAGTTGAGATGTCGCAGGGTACTCCAATTGCAGAAGAAAATTGCAATAAAACCGTACAAAGCACGAAGATGCAGACTGTAAAAAGCGACGCGCCGGAATTGGATTGAAAAGACACGCCATGCCGGTGCGCGCTACAAAGCGAAGACCGATTGATCCAATACCATCCGGCATCGAAATGCAACAACGTTAAAAGTGTTATTCTAATAACTAGAAGAAGAAAAAAAAATTACAAATTTTGTTTACCAACGAAATCATTCAAGTTTTTCTTTTCTTGTTGTTTTATGCGCGAAATTAATTTGCTTTTAAAGCATCAATTCGTGTAACGTAAGCCGGGACGGATTTCAAGCTTTATTATACCGGGGTGGAAGGGAGGTAAAATGCGTGGGAGGTGGAACAGAAAAGGGTGGATGATGATGTTGATGATGATGAACAATGAAAAAAAAAAGGAGAATTAAAAAATAAAATAAAGCAGGAAGTTAGTGCAACACAGAGGGCTTCCGCTCTATCGGATTAATTACGATCGATTATTAATTCATCCGTTTGTAAATTATCGCAGGAATATTAAAACGCGTGGGGGGAGGGTGGTTTGTTGCAGACGCAAGCGCGTATCATCATCGTCCGGCCTTTCCCCAATTATTTCCTGTCTATAGCGTTTCCTATAGTTGTTTTCGCTACTTTTTATCGGATTGTTCCTGCATCCTCTTTTTTTATTTTGCAACCCCCCATTCTGCACATGCACATATATCCCCTTGTATTCTCGTTTTAGTCCGTCCGGTTTTTTTTTCTTTTTTTTTGTAAATTTCGTTTTTATTTTTCGGTTGTGTCAGAGGGAAAGGGTCAGAGGCAGTATGCAATAATGGAAATTGGCGATGCCGAGTGCGAAACGGTAGAAGCGACGGAGCAAAGGGAAAACCACACCACTGATTTTCTAATTAGATCAAATGATACAAATGGAAACTATGCGGGGTGGTTTCTGTATCCTACTACTACTACGATCCTCATTCATTCTCTCTCTCTCTGCCCTTTGCATATATCTTCCTCTCCCTTTTCAACGCACGCACATGCAAACACTCTCTTAGTCTCCGGTGGAACGCAAATAGGGGTTTCATCCATCCAAACCACCCCCCATTTGCAGCCTTCGGACATATTTTACCGATTGCGCTGTCCCTTTGACACACGAAACTTCCGACGTTTAACACCTGACACAAGCGTTCTGGATCTCAATTATTATTCTGACCCCGCACATCCACACCTCTTCTGCAGACGCACTCTCTGCACATACGGCATTATTACACTGCAGCGCGATCTCCACTCGAACAACTTTGATGATTATAAGTTTCGAATACAAAAGAAAAACCTATCTCTCGCATATCGTTATAAATACCGTAACGCGAATTTCACTTTACATTTGCGACAACAAATTTATTTGTTAATTAACGCATCCCTTGGACACCTGAAAGTTCGAAATCCCAATGGTCGCAAACCGAAAACACAGGATTTGTTGACAAAACAAGTTTTAATCATCATTTGCACAGTTTCATGAATATACCATTTTTTTAACAGGTTTGATCCTCTGAATTGGTTTAAATAATAATGGTTCTCGAAATGACAGCTGTCAGCTTGTGTCAAAGTGAACAAAGTTACGTTACAATTCAAGCTTATTGAATATAATAAGTATTTTACAATTTTTTTTTTTCAATTGTGCAATTTTACTAAAATAAGTTTGTCATGAAAAGGAACTTTATTAATATATTGTTGAGAATTTATTTTTAATACTAATTTCTTCTTGTCCTTGTAATCTGTTATAGGTGGTTGCGAATTCCCGAAGCAATGGGCCGGCTGGTGGTTCCAATCCGGAGTACCTCAACCTTTGCCCATCAACTCGACGTACATCGAGACGAAGGGCGAATGCTACGAGGAGCAAGGAGACAAATATTTGGTCTACGACAGGTAAAAACAAAAATTTCTTTTATTCGATTGAAACAGTTTTAGAATCCTAAATTAGTTAGGTTCCTCGTTGTGTCTACAAATTGTTATCGCTTGAGCTTAATTAATAATTAATCTAATCGAATTTCATTTAAGTAAACAATCGCCACCTAATCTTACCTAATGTAAACTAATATCGCTGCGGCTTAATCTCAATCCGATTTGGGATTAATTGAAAATCAATGCGATTTAATTTAAATCACGATGCGAATGAGAGGGGGCTGTGGAGAGTAGGATGGACCATTAATTCTATGATTTCGATCGAAATCACGACTAATTATCGTCGATAATCGCAGTTAATATTTACTAATTATTGTTGTTTGTTTTATGTAAAATTTGCTATGTAAAAATTGTATCTTAATTTTCTATAAAAAGTCCAGGAAAGAGGAATTACAACAATCTAATCAGCAAATTCATTAAATTTTTTTACAAATTTAACTCCTAAAAACTTTTATTTTAGTTTATAACTTCAGGAATTTCTGTTCCTTCAAAGAGTTAAATAATTCTCATTAGTTACAATTTCATGTTCAATTATGGTGTATACATTAATTGAAAGGTTTTCAATAAAACTGATGAAATTGGTGTTATTTGGTATTTTTTAGGGCGGACAATTGCTACAGATGCATGGCGATTCACGTGAAGCACTCGAGCGTTCTGCAATATAAAGAGAGTGAGTGCAAGAAACGAAATGATCAGAGGTTTCAATAACTAATTGCGTTCGTTTGCAGCGTTTTGCGAGAGCAAAGCTTCTTTGCAGGAGATCTGCTACGGGATAACAGGAGACGCATCTTTGTACAGCATGTTTCGAAAGTCACCGGAAGCGAAGCCCGTTCCGTGTCCATTCAAGAGTGCTCCTTTTACCTTCTCCTACAATAGGGGATCAGGTGATTGCAAAGATCCACCGAGCAAGGCGGAAAGCTGCACCGACGATTCCCGTCTGGTCCTCAAGTATCAGGCTTGTTTGGATGATCCATCCACGGAAACCCATGGTGAGTAAAAGAAAATAAAAGAGAACACGAAATGAATGGAACGGTGTTTGTTGTATCGAGAAAATGTAATAAATTCGTTTCGTTCCAGTCGAGGAATTAGTGTGTTTGGCCACGTGGAAGGAAGGCTCCACGCGTTATTTGATCGGAAAGATATCGCAGGGGAATCGGAGGGCCCTCACCTCCGACGAGGATCAATACCGATGCTTCATTTACCTGAAGAGCACCGATAAAGGAAAGGTGGTCTACCACATCGCCCAGTCCGGCGATGCCAGCTGCAACGGTCTGCAGAGCGTCCACGAGGGCAGCAGGACGATGAAGTTCACCGCCGTCGATAACCATCATAACAGATGCAAATTCCCCACCTGGATCACCGATCATCACACCTGGCTCAGTCTGGATCACAAGAAGACCTACAAATTCTCGCAGAGAAACGCCACTCTGAAAATCCTCGACGAGGAGCCGAAACTCGGCAGGAACAGTCAGCAGACTCAGCAGCCGCAGCAACATTTCGCCTTCCAAGAGTTCGGATTCGTGTCTCAAGATCAGCACCGGCAGAACTCCGAGATGAGGGTGATCTGTCACGCGATTTTGGAGTCTAAGGAGCAGAAGAAGGTGCAGATCGTGGCGCACATCACCGCAGGATGGTACGTTGTTTCGCAAATCGATGCTCCCTTTTCGAATCGCTCAGTAAATATTTGATGTTTCAATTACAGCGATAGCGGATATGTCTGCATGGTTTTCTACAAGCGCGACTCTCACGTGATCGAGATTCAGCAATCTGAAGATTACCACGATAATCCCGACGATGCGTGCAACTCCTTCGATCCAACAACAACGCCGTTCACCACTTTGATAAGTAAGTTTATTACTTCGAGAGTTACATTCTTCAACTTCGTACTAATTCCTTCTTTACATTCAGCTACGACTCTGCACCCTAAGAAATGCCCGAACGTAGGCAGATTCACGCTCCTCGAGAACTTACCGATGACTGGAGAAAGACGCAAACGTAGACAGCAACAAGAAACTGGTAAGTTTATCCATCTGACCAAAACATATCCATTAAGCTTAATTTGAAAATATCAGAATATTTAGTCTTCGAGATTGACAACTTTATTACTTTTGTTGCCTTGGAAACAATTGTAAAGCATGTTATTTTACTCATTTTTGTTTGTTTGTTGAAGGTTTGGAGAGTATGCCGAATGCGCCGATAGCCCCAGAATGTTTGACCCCGAAATACGAAGCCCTGTCCGTCGGATGCAATTCGAACGAGCTGATGGAATTCAAAACCGCCTGCCTGCAGCAGCCCACGAACGGTACGCCATCATTTCTATGATGAAACAATTAATCAAAACCGTTGCAACCGCCCATACAAATTTAACGTTATCCTTATTATTATTTATTTTTTGCTTCATTTCTGTTGCAGCCTTCACGTGTCACGGCTCCTGGCAGGACAATAACACGTTCTACGTGATCACGTCGCCGACGTCGCGCAAGAGCGCAGATACTCTGCGATATTGTTTCATCTATACGGTGACCCATCAGGACGGAGGAACTCCTTCAACGTCAGTCGCCGGAGTTCCGCAAGGATCTAAACCACCGACCGGCGGAGGACCTCCGATTCTCAGACTCTCGGCAATATCAGAGTCCTGTCACAGGCACATCTCGCCCGGAATAGACGGAGCTTGGGCCTTCAACTTTACAAGCAACGGAAAATTCGGTAAGTTCTACTAATATTCTTAGGTTTTTATGCAACAAATTCATTGTTTTCTTCTTCTAATGTTTAGAGTCTTGCGCCGAGGTGGAGACCGAAAGCGCCGCTTCGGCCCTTCTGCCCTCGTTCATCATCCTCGTGACGCTGTCTTGGATCACCGCGGTCATTTTAAGATGATGAAGATGGAACCAAATCTATACGCTTACTGAATATTAAGGGGATAAGACAACAACTGCAGCTGCTACAAAGGAAAACACCCGACAAAAGAAAACAACACATCTATATATATATAAAGAAAAAAATAAAGAGACTCATTGAAGAAGGATTAAAAAAAATACATAATACGCTAGTGCGAATTCCCTCGAGAAGAAAATTGCGAGTATAACAAAAATAATAATAATAATTTGTATAGAAGAGTATTAATCTCTCCACGAAAGCCCAAAAAAAAAAACTAATAAGGAACCTAATAATAATATTGTCGACCCTACCTAACACGCAATGCCCTTAAACCTAATTGTTATTAAATATTGTAATAATACGATACGTGTGAAATATGGGAAAAGATATTTATTCGAAAGGAAAGCGAAGAAAAAAAAAGAGGAAAGTGTGTCAAAGCGAATGTGCTTTTATAACTGTATTTCTTTTGATTTTCGATTGAGGTGGCTTCAGCTGTATCGCTTGATGTGTGATTTTTTCGGAGATGGACAAAAAAAAAAGAAACCTAATATCAAAAAAAAAAAGAAAATCCCCTTTAAGAAAATAAAAAAACAAACCCTCTCTCAGTCTCCGACAAACTCGGTGTTTATTCATTAAGCTTTAAGCCACTAACAAAAAAGAAAATAACCAGAAGGAAAGAAGGGACGTGTTCTTCATTTTGTACATATAGTGAAATGGGTTATATATATATTGTATTGTTTTCCCGGGAAAAGAAAAACAAAAGGAGCGGATTTCCCGTATTTCACCAAAGAAATAAGAAAAGAAAAAAAAACTTTAAGGCTCTAAAATGTTTGGTAAATATATAAAAAAAGAAAAAAAATTAAATTAAAAATGGATATAAATATATATATTATTATTATTATTATATATGAGGAAAAAAAAGAAGGTATATTATTATAGTCAATTTTTTAAGTCCAAAAAAAGAGTAATGAGAAAAAAAAAATCCAATTTTTGTATTTTTATTAAGAAAGAAAAAAGAATTAATTAAGAGACGCCGAGGTGATGATTTCGTTTCGTTGCTTTCGTCTTCGGTTGAGGTAAAATTGAGGCGTTTTTCTTGCAATAGAAATGAAAAAAGCATAGAAAGGACGGCATCTATTTTTACAGGGTTTTTTGTTTTTGTTGTTGTGGCGAATTGTTCGAATGTATACGAAAATCGAGAAACAATACACAAATGATTACAACAAGCGAATTAACAAGAAATAAAAAATAAATAGAATTCCCTCAAGCAAAGAACTAATTCTTTTTTTCAATATAAATATATATTTTTTTGCATTTAATTACGTAATATGTATATTTGTTGATTATTTTTAATTTTTCTCCTCCTTATTTTTTTTCTTCTTTTTTTTTTTTAAATATGTGGATCGACCCTGTATATATATATAATATAATAATATTCTGAATATTGGATAGCCTTTTTCAATGTTTTCTGTACAGAGCTTTTGGGTGGAAACTATTTTACAGTTGATGTGTCACACTTTCAGTTAAAATTTTATTAGTTTTTTTTATTAAATAATTATTTAAATATATATAATGTGTATTATATATGTGTACATAATTAAATGAATTCCCGTATATATCAATATACTTTATTTTTCTTTGATTGTGAAGAAAACTAAATATTTTGGAAGCTTCGTCGTGCGGACAACGAACAGTTTTTTGGTTCCTTTATCGGTGGAAGAACAGGGATAGACGAGTAATTGAGAAAAAAGACAAAAAAAAATACGTGGAAATACCAAAAAAAAAACAGGAAATGATAAGGGATGAGAACGGGACGGAATGTTGAACATCACAAGATTGTTGTACGTAAAACAGTTTTAACTCAACAATGCTTTTTCAATTATTAATCAATCAATTACTATTTACTTTATTTTGTTCTCATTTAGTTTAAATAAGATATCTCAACCCTTTTGTTATTTAATTTTGTAAAGAGATGAAAGAAAACAGAAAGAAAACGAGAAGAACTTTGTAAATAAAATATCGTGTATTATTATTATTATAATTATTTTTTTTGATATAATATAAATTATGCCATCATTTAAAAAAAAAACAAAAAAAACACAGCTGTAACCTTTTGAGTGTTTTAATTTATCTCGATTTATTATCTATATTTTTCATTTATTTTCTTTCTTTGTTTTTATTATTGTTGTTTGTTTTGATTTGAAAGAGAGAAGAACTAGAGAAATTAAGATTAACTTAAAAATGATAAATAAATATTTAAAGTGAATAAAAAAAAAGTAACATTGTATAAAAACTGTGATGATGAAGTGCAAAGAATGAAGAAGTTGGGCGGATGAAGGAATTTTTCGTAATAGGCGTCTATAATAGGGAAAATGAAAGATAAAAAAAATGAGAAGGGAAAAGAGCAGATGAGTAAGATGAAAGAAATTTGAAAATAATAACAAACAAAAGCCGGAGAAGGGAAAACAAAACAGCTGACGATGATTGTGGAATTGTCCTTTTTACATATAAACAAGAATTTTAGTGTTTATATATATATATATATGATATATGAAATAATAATCCTATTTATATTTTTTAATCGATTGAATCATCCTCCAGTTTGTTTTCCGATTTCTTCCCTTCCTATGTTCTATTTTGTTTTGTTTTGTTCTATTTTGTATTGAATCTTTTTTTATTTTTCTTTTGTTCTTTATTAAATTGTAAATCTTCGATTGATGATGACTCGATTCGTTTTCTTATTCTTGTGCTAAGACTTATTATCTTTTGTTTTCATTTTTATTTTTGAACATGTATGTTTCTAATGTAAATATTTTAAAATATATTTATAATGCAATTGAAAAATTGAGTGTTTACTTTTAATAAAATATATTAAATAACATATATTAAACATTTTTATTTTATTTCCCATTTCAATCTAAAAAAAAAAATAATTTCATAATTTCTTTATAGTAAATATTTTAATAATTGACATTAAAAAAAATATCAATAGTTATATTAGTTTGAATGCATTATTAAGAGGCATTTCCGTAAATAATAAAAAAAAATGGAAAATTGGTAAAAATGTTATCAAATTACATAAATTATATAAGAAAATACATTTTTCTTTTTAAATTCTCATGTTAATTCCTTATTGTATATAATTTAACAAAGACAAACAGAATTGTAATGTTTATTTTGTGAGATTCTGTTAATAAATTTGGATATACATTACATCATAGTTTTTAAACTACTAAAAAAAATATTAATTAAATGTTCTTTTGTATCCATTTTATGAAATTACGTATTTATTCTAAATTAGTATAGTTTATAAGATTTCCAAATTCTTGTTTTTATAAATTAAAATCATTATATAACAAATTGATGTTTAAAGTACGTAAGCTATGTAAAGAAAAAAGAAACTATGAATGGTTTTACTAAAATGTACACTAGAGAAACTTTGGTTGCCTATAGTGTCTCTCAAGAAACTCCACTTTTTTCGATTATTTCTTTGTATGATCTGATACAAATTGGCTAATTATAACATATTAAACTATTTGACGATAAATTAATGTAAATACGTCTGGATTATCAATTTTGAAGAAATATAAAGAAATATAATATAATTACAAATCTTCACTAACATAAACCCGGCGCATCCACCAAATATAACAAATCATAATTAATTGGTAGATCTAACGAAAATATGATTTTGAACTACTTAACATGAAGTTACGTGAAGTTAACATGAAATTTGCTCGAGTAACAAATTACAATTAATACTAAAATATTATGAATGAAAATTGGAAGAATTGTTGTTTTTTTCGTTGATGTTACATTTAATGTTGATTAAAATTGATTACTAAAGTATTAGGAACGGAAAAAAAGAGGAAAAAAAAGTTGATTTGTTTTAAATTTTCGATATATTTATTTTTTGTTTTATTTTCAAAGATCGTCTATATTCTAAACATATATGTACACACATTGAACATGTTAGAGAACAACATTTACTCAAGTTTACACGAAACATACAATTTCTATATGGGATATCCAGAAACAAAAGAAATAATAATAAAAAAAACGCATTACCTGTTTTTTTTATATAGCTTGATTACATGTGCATACACAAAGTAAGTAGTCATAACATTAAAAAAAAGGAACGACGACAAAACGTAACGATCCTAGAAAAGAACAAAGAAAAACCAACAACTGTAAAATCAAAATAGTCCAGAGAAAGCCCTAAACTAAATCACATCGAATGCTATAGGAATACAGAGATCCTATGACACGAAAAAACGAGGAACATAAACGTTTATCATTATAAATCGTTACTTATATTTTGTATTTTTTCTCTCTAAACATCCAGTGAACTAAAGAGCGGAATCCAAATGTCTTCTTCATCTTCATCAACGTGTGTGTTTCATTTAATTATTTTTGTTTTGGCATCGAATCTCCTCTTTCTCTCCCTTCAACAAAGACATCTGATTTCCAAAAAAATTACATATTACAACGTTTTCATCATTTATTTTATCGAAGGTGAAAACCTTTTTAAACCCTTCACAACCACGTCTAAAAACAAAACAGATTTCTCTCAAAATCATAATCACGTTTATATATTTTTTTTCATCATCATCATTATTATTCATAGTTTTTTTTTTAATTATTTCACTTATCAGGCACTACTTTCATCTTTTTTTTTTAGCTAATTTTTAAGTAACTAAGTTCTGGTTTTAAAGTTAATTCATTAGTTATTATCGTCCATTGAAATCTAAACCGTTTCGAACAAACAACAATCCTTAGAAAACAAACGAATCCCTTTTTATCGCGCGATTCGATCCATCCCTTAAAACTTACAATATATCTCATAATTATTGTTAATAATAATAATAATATTAATAAATATTAATCATCAATTAATTAATAACATACAGCTTTTCGTAGCAAATTTGAAATATATTACAATAGATTCTCAATATATTTATAATATTTAAGATTTAACAATAACATTCTCTTGATTCATTCGTCAATATTTTTTTTTTGTATCTTGTAAGTTAGAAGTTACGGTTCTCCTAAAATCGGTCGGAAAGTAAATTTAAAAAAAAATCATTAAAAATGTGAAAAATAAGGATTTCTCTTTGTCATCTGAAACGTTCAACAATAGTTTTTTCTTAGTAAACTCGTGTATATATATAATATATATAATAATAATATAAATCTTTTTTTCGCGTTTTTTTTATTCTTCCTCCCTCATCTGCTTTTTATTATTCTCTTTATGTACAAATAAATATATATTGAAAAAATAAATTTCCTCTTCTCGCCACGTCCACGTTTTTTTTTTATTATAAATAAATAAATTCTTTCTCTATAACATCCGTTTGTGTTGTATGTCCACGAAAAAATGATAGTTTTCTTTACTTAATTTTTTTTGCGATGTGTACCTTTCTCATATGTATGGTCTGATAATCGAAGATATGATGAAATTGCACGAAAAACTTTGGGGTGATTATTAAATATATATATATACTTTTTTTTTCATATAATTTGAAGGAAACAGGTAAACGTTTTCGTCCCAAAGTTGCATTGAATTCATGTAAATTCAATAAGCTCCTCGAGTATACAATTTTTGAATATATACTTCAGTTTCCTCTACATATTTAGATTACATTTTTATCCTTAAATGAACGATAAATAGAACTAAATTGAACTTAAATGAAAATACGGAAAATTCATCGTTATTGTTACAATAATAAAGCGCCTTCCTTGATTTCAATCTCTTCATATATCTAAATATGTATTTTGTTTAGTCATACAGGGTGTTTAATATAAAGTTGACACACTGTATTGCCGAGTAAATATTCACTATATGACTAGAAATATTTTTTTCAATTTTTTTTATATAGTTTTTTTTTCTTCTGTTGTTGTTCATCTAAATACAGTAGCGAAATGGAGAATGTCGCTTTTATTTTCCCTAAATACACTCGTTTAATAATAATAATATTATTGTTGTTATAATATTTTATGTTTTAAAGTTTTATTAATGAATTACTCATTAATACAAAATATATATAATTTTGAAGTGGGGAATTTGAATGAAAAAGAAAACTGCTCTAAATACGATTGGCTTTCACTAAATTGACCACAGAAAGCTCTACGAAAAATAACTAAAAAATAATAAGCGTAAAAAACACATTCCTAGATATCCCTTTTTGCTTTAAAATCACACCACTTTCTACCATACTAATCCACCAAATTTAGTAAAAGCCAATTGTAGAAGCGACATGTTTGTATGAGATTTGTTTTTTTTTTAAGGTTTGGAAGGATTAAATTTACATATTGTCTTCATTAGATTTTCTTGTTCTTTCTCATATTTTTTTTTAGGTATATTCCAACGCTCCAAGGTAAAGATTTCTTTTGACATCTCAAAAAGGTTGTGCGCATTTAATTTTTGTTGTTGTTGTTTTTGTTGTTGGCTCCTTTGCGATATTCTCCATTGGCTAATTCACACGCACTCCTGTCTCCTCTCTCCCTTTAACAGCCCTTACAAATATTTACCTTACACTCTAAATGGTAAATTGTAAATTTACATACAACGTTTTATTATTTTTGTTTTTTGTTTAGTTATATCTCTTAAATATTCATCCACTGATCATCTAAATCGTATCACAAAAAATACTGTCAAATATTTTTTTCTTTCTTCTCTCTTTCTCTCCTCATTCCAATTATTTTTTTTTTGTCACGAAACAGGTCGAGTTAGGAAATGAACAAAATAGAAGGTAGGAATTAATCCTTCTGTACTTTTTTTTTCACTGACCAGCTTAAGCTAATATACATAAAAATAAACAATTTCTGCTCTAAATCTACTGAATAAATTAATAAATAAATACAATTTCTATTCTCGTCCTCTTCATTTTCTCATCAACTTTCGATTTTCCTTTCTCATCTCATCCTCTTTATTCTGGCTTGAGCCTGTGCCATTGCACGATGGTCTGACGTGGCTTCGTGATCATATCTTGCCAATGTTTGGTCTCGGATGCGCCGGATCCGTTTTTACCTGAAAGTGGCGTTAAGAATCAACACTTAAGAGGAATTTACAAACAGGTCCAGTTACTTTTACCAGCTAACAAAATCCTTCCAATCAACTCGTTCCTCCCGATGTTGTCGAAGTCCATGACCATCACGTCCAGCGAGCATTCGCGGATCTTCTCCCACGGTACGTTAAAAGAGAAGGTATCATTGAAGACGGGATTCAGCGTGCATTTGAATATCGCCGTCTTGCGTTTCTCTATTCTCTTGTCGCCGAACTGAAGCCAAACTTTCACGTACGGATCTGAAATACAAATCATTTCATTTATTCGTTATCAATATTATTATTATAGGAATTTACCTGATTTTCCGTTAATATCTTTGGCTTTTAGGTTCCTCGCCTTTAGTAGGGTCAGAGTTAGGATGCTGTTGCTGGGGTGGTAACAGAGTGAAGTCAAAAGTTCGCCACATTTATCCTTAGCAGGAGGTTTCAACGCTTTCCAGAACGAAGGTTTCTCGCTCAAATCCACCTAACAAAATCATAAGTTACATAGAAAATGAGAAATAAGCAGAATAGAAGATAAGCAAATTAGATATATTGGGTATATTTCTATATGTGTATGAATTTTTGTATTCATATTAAATACTGTTAGAAATTTAATATTTACTAAACTAACGAAATTTAATTGAATATTTAAATATATGATTATTTGGCTTAATTATAATAATTAAAATTCTTAATTAAAAAAAAAGTCTTCAATTCTTGTTTTTATCTTGATTATGAATTTATAAAGATGAATATATATACTTATTTATTTTGATGTAAGTGTTGCATTATTATGTTTTGTTAGAAATAAATACCTGACATAATGGTAGAAATACTTCGCCGATGGAATCGTCCCTGGAAAACCTGTCGTAGTCGAAGACGTGCAAGTGTAACACCCGCGACTGGAGCTTCTGAATGGGGAAACCTTCGAAGTAGAAAGTCTCGTTCCATCGGGGATTCAATGTGCGCCTTTTGATCTTCGTCTCTAACCGGTGCTTCTTGTCCGGAAGCAGAGTGACTCTAACGTAGGGATCGCTGGTGCCGGAAAGATCCTTTGCCGGTAATTCTTTACCCTAAAAACAAAAAAAAAAAAGCAAATTACATAATCTGATTTATTTAAAAATCGAATTTATCGTAAACTTACTTGAAGGATTCGTAAGATGAGCGTGGTATTTTGGAAGTCATATTCCAGAGAGAAATGGATTTGTCCGACGTTCTCCGAAGGTTCTGAATTGTCGATGTACATGTCGACCAGCGAGATAGAGCGGTTCTGTAGGAAAGCCATCTGGAACAGTATCGAAATTGATGTTCAAAAACACCTTTTCTACTGAAAGCGCAGCCAGAACTAAAATACCATGTTAATGGCACGGGATCGAATGACGAACTGATCTATTCGAGGGAGAGATGGTGTGAATGTCTTAAGCGAGGCGCCGAACGTCTTAATCAAACAATTAGCTCGACCTTTCAATACTTTGCCGGCAACTTAATTAAAGCCAGTTTAAAAATAAAGCGCAAATATTTGTTAGCTACAGGTTAGCTTCGATCGATGTTTATCTATATGGCTGATATGAAAGAGAGAGTGAAATGAACGCGATTGATGATGGTGGAAGAGGAAGGGAAAGAGAGAGAGTGAATCCTGGGAGAGGCCTTTACGTCCCTACGGCGATTCGCTATCGCCGGACAGGAAATTAATGGCGTTCGTGTGCGGAAGAGCAGATAAGCCCGAAAGCAAACTACCATCGAAAAGCCTGATGGATGATACGCGGATCCGCAATCAAAATCTTCGGGCATTACCCATTAGCATATATATATATATATTCCTCGCTGGTTACTCACCGATGGATGGTCTCCGGCACCGCCGCCTTTGACATTCTGCAGTTGCTTGTTTGCGGGGGCGGTCGGGGTGCGGGCCTCCGGTGGGATGGCCCCGGCGCTGCTTCCTGCCGGAGACTTTGCCTGCGGACTTCCGGTTGTCCTAGAAAATGAGAAAGAAGCAGAATAGAAGAACGCTGTTACATAAGAATAAAAGAGAGAAAAAAAGACAACATTCCCTTTGTCAATACATTTCGTTTGTGCAATCAGCAAATTAGATCAAGGCTGACTTTAATTTTGTATATTTCTATATAAGTATTATTTTTTGTAATAATACTAAAAATGTAATCAAATAATATTATAAACCACTTAACTTTTTTACTCTATTGTAATTACATAAAATTTGTATGGATATTAAGTTTTATATAAGAAGGAAATAGAAAACATTTCTTTTTGTCAATACATTATCTATGCGCAATCAACAAATAAGATCATGGTTTACTTTACTAATTGGTTACATTTAACTCCTTACTACTTCTATACAAGTAAGAATTTTTGTAATAATACTAACTACATAGTCAAATAATATCAATCACCCATTCTGTTGCTTAACTTTTTACTCCAATTTCTTTTAATTACACAATATTTGTAAGAGTATTAAATAAATTTTAATTCAATAAAAAGTTATTCATGGAATTAGTTATGGTTAGAACAAATTATAAAATATTATTGATCACCAATCAAAATAATAATGCTTATCTTTTATCAGCATTAGATTTATGTACATAATATCTATGAGAACATTAAGTAAATGTTATATGACAATAATTAAATAATATAGAAAAATGAAAAAAAAAAACTAAACACAAAACTTCTGTTTTTAAGGAAAAATGTCAATAATGACTGATTTTATATAATAAGCATAGAAAATTGAAAAGTTTGAAACGCTTAAAGATAATTCTCATAGAAAATATATTTTTCTATCCTTGTTTCATTTATAAAGTAAGTATTTTATTTTCATTACATCTGCATACATGTTAAGTAAATTTTATATAAAATTCTCTACAATTATTGAAAGACTAAATAAATATCTACAATAAATTAGAACATCAAAAGTAAATATCTAATACAATCCAGATCTGAAAGTTCGAGCTTCTTCAAAGAAATTGATATAATTGTTATTTATTTTCAGAAATTGTGAGAAAATATGTATTTTATCATATCTATTATTAAAATTAACAAATCGATTTAATATTAATATTTTCAATAAATCATATGATCATCACTTATATAATAATACATAAAGTATACTCTTTATGCGTGCGTTGACCTACATTTCAAAATTAAATTTTTCGAGAGGACAGATTGGGGGACGCAATTGGAATTGCATTTGAATTCATGCATTTTTCATAGACCACTAAGTTGCCACACTCAGTCTCCCCTTTCTGTCTTCAACTCAAAGTATACATAAAACAACATCTTATGGCATTTATATTCAACGTTGCAAAATAATACAGATTTCAAGATATTTGAAACAAAACTTACAATCGTTGTTTCTTAAGTCTTGTTTCATTTTTGTCAGTTTTAAATTATTACCAATAGTAATAAAAACATATTTTGATGTGCATGAAAACTGTATAAAAATAACTTAATTTTTAATTAGTATTAATGCCAATACTAATGAATGTTTAAATTTTCATAGATATTATATTAATATTCAATTTTTATCTAAAAATGCTTTAATAAGTAAATATATTTTTTTTAGTAATTGAAGTTAAAATATGGAATAATAAACATCATTTTTCTTGGTAAAAAATGTAAATATGTAATAAGTTTAATACATTGTAGAGTTTGCGACTGGCATAAAATGTTTAATCCAACAGTGGTTATATCATCACAACGACTCCACTCATCCACATCTTCTCTATAAAATAGAAATAATGTTGTATATTCTCCACATCTCTCGCATAAATATTTATTGTTGAAAATACGCCCAGCCATCTCCATACATATTTTTATTAACTTTAAAACTCTCTTCACACAAAATTACAATATTTCTCTACAATGTCTGAAAACCCACATTCTGTATAATATATCAATTTTTTCTGCTTCAATAAATAAACACATTATTTTTATTTTATAGAGAAAATGTGGACTCCTGTGATGATATAAACACTATAATCTCATAAAAAAATACAGCAGCGTATAGAAATAAAGAACAATAAAAATTAATTGGAAATATTTTAAAGAGTTTGTTTATATAAATAAAATAAAAAATAAAAATAAGAATTTTATACTAATCGAATCTGCAAATAAAGCTACTATTAATTTATTAGTAAAAGAAAAAATCAAAATCAAAGTGATGATGTTTCACTTTGATTTGAGCGGTCCAACATCAGGAAAGTTTCTGTTTGATGTGTATTAGTCTAGTTATTCCTGGATGCAACGTTTGCTTTCAAAACTACGTGTTGCTCCACTACAATCAATATTTAACTGCATGTATATTCCAACGAGTTGCTCCTGTTTTGTCGTCTCACGCAAACACTCAATATTATCTTTGCGCACATTTAACAATACGTTCACATATAAAAACGAGAAGAATGTGACGCAAAATCAGCTTCAAAAAGGCACAAATAGTGATAGTATTTAATTAAAAAAAGGACATCAAAGCTTGCATATTTTCATTTTATACCGTTTCGTCGCCGAACACTTTGATGTGCGGTAGTTAAAAAAAAAAGAGGATGGATTGTACAGAAAATGTCAAAAAGCGAATAGTTCTGATTGTTGTACATTTACGCTTTGTTGCGTACTGATGAAATTCCTGTTCGATTAATTTAATAAATGGAATGATTTGCGTTGAACCTACTACGCTTTGTATATTAATTAAATTATTTTGTTCATTCGAGCACTTTGATGTGCAGTAGTTCAATAAAAAACAACGAATAGTTCTAATTAATTAACAAATAGTTCTGAAATACCCTGGAATACCCTTTCGGTAATTTTGTAATTAAAAGAATTTAAGTAGAATTGCAGGAAAACGGTGCTAGTTACAAATGAAGTTGTTCTTGCAAATGAAAACCTGATTATTTAAGGTATTTATACATAGAATTAGTACGATAAACCAAAACGAGGAGACACTTTTTCGAGTATTAAATACACATTTTTTTAAGTTTTAGGGCTAATTATAGGAAAATGTCAATACTTACAAATTTAGATATACTTCAATATTAAAGCCAAAATATTTAGCTATACATAAAGTGTTCATACATAGAATTAGCGCAATTGGCTCTCTAGTAATACATCAAAACATGCAGACATTGCTTTTATAAGTTACAAAAACGTTTTTCCTAATTTCGGGCTAATTACATTGTTTTTTTTTTGTTTAGATTATTAAAAAATGACATTGAATTAGAAAATTACCATTAGCAAAAATATGTATAACTGATATTAGAGGTAGATAAATCATTGATATTGGTAGAAATTAAGTTAATTTTTACTAAATAATAGTAATCTTGTTAATCCTTCAGTTAAACTTCTTTACTAAAGTTTATTAAAATATGTACATCAAAGATTAAGTTGCTATATTTGCTATATTTTAAAGTAAACCTTACAGACTTTTAAAAATACGTAAACCCAGTAAACGCAGTACATTATTGACTAACTACACTTTGATAAAGTTGAAAGTTAGCATCTGCTTCCTCATAAAATATGAAACTTATAATTGAAACAATATGGAAAAACCGCACCGAGAATCACTAAACTATTTTAATAAGTATATATATATATATTGAAGCTGCGATGATGGTAAAAACGTAAATAACAAGAGCAGAGTGTGATCGGAAATCTAATTGGAAGTTCTTGAAGCTTCGGCGCTTCCGCAAAAACTTTTAATGCACTCATTAGCATTCAATTCGTCCGTGCTGGGAAAGTGGAAACTGCACGTGAAAAGTTCAAGTTTTCTCTCGTCTTCAGTAAAGTACACGACGCAACAGAAGAAAGTATAATCTTCAAAAAGAAAAAAACGTTAATTAATCTTACGATAAAACCGCTAATTGTAAGCGTGCAGGAACAATGGGGTATTCGTTTAATGCGGGCTCAATGAAAGAAAGAAATAATCTGTTTGATGTGATGAAAGGATGAAAAGTGTGTGAGGATATTGTGTGTTTGGATCAAAGAGTTACGACCCCAAGGAAACGAAGCTAAGAAAAAATTTGGCGGAAAATTTCTTTTAGTCTATGGCGAATCAAATATGAAAGCGTATTATGGAAATGTTACATTTGCAGTTATGATATTTCAGGTTTTTCAGAAATAGCTGTTATGCCATCAATCGAGCTCCTATTTAGAGAGATAAGTGAGAAGTAGATAGGAGTGAGCAAGGAGACAGCTGAAGTTGGACTGCTGGAAAAATGACAAAATAGTATTTTTAAGGGAGTTTAATCCCAGAAATAGGACCCAACATTTCCAGAATCATTGTGAAATACCACCAACCACATAGCAAAAAAGGAGCATAGAAAGTGCTCGTACAGCGAAGAAGATGAGAACCCAGAACGATGTTGCAGGTGGACAAAGATGATGTACGAGGCGAAAGCAAATCTTGGAGAACTGCTAGAACTGGAGACATTCGTTGATGAAATGCTGAAGAACCAAGGAAGGTGGTATATTAGTAAGATATTCATTAGCACTCCTCCACTAAGAAAGATGAAGAGCGGAGGCTGGAGACGATCAAGGAAGACCAACAAATGTCGAAGTAAATATCTGGAAGTGGACATATTTTTGAGGAATATAAATTGATAATAAATTATGTTTGCTACAGATTTACTACAAATTATTTAGAAATATTAATAAACTGGCTGACTACGTTAATTACGTAACAAATTAGTAAATGAAATGTGTTTGCGTTGCTGCGGCTGAGGTGCAAATGTGTGTGCATTGTCTTCCATAATTCATGTAGGATTGGACGGATGCTCCATAGGCGTCGGCTCCACCAGAAATATTAACAACGTCACGCAACGTCTCTCGTGCCGCCGCCGCCCCAAAAAAAAAAAACCCATCAACAAAATGTAATATTAATATTTTAATCTTCATCCGCAAAGAATTTATGGATGCTTTTAACACGCCTCGTGCGTGGAAAACCCTACCATTAACGTAATCGTCCCTTTTACTCTCTACATCTGGAATATTGATGATTCTGAAGAACAAAAATAAAACAACGAAAATGAAAAATTGAATCAGTCAAAAAAAAAAACATTCATTATTAAAGAACGATTCTGTGATATGTTTTTTTTTCCTCTCTCATATTTTTGTGATTGTCTGATGAGTTTTTCGCGTTTTCATCGTTTCCAAATTGCTCCAATTAATACGTTTCATATTTTTTTTTTGCTGTTGGATGGAGTCGCTTGAAACGTAATGAATTGACAGACAAAACGACGTGCACTTGTCTTTTGCGAGGGTCGTGATGGATCCTTGAATTAATCAAGGGGTCGGAAGATGGAGTATCTAGGTGGCTCTTTGTGCGCAATGAAAAATAGGATCTAATGAAATTAATTATCCGCGGGTGGAAAATGTCAGAGGGAGAAGGGATGAGGATGAAGAGGAAGTCCGGAAAATCCCCGAGGACTTTACTGTTGAAAAATTTCAAGAAATATTATCCCCTCTCCCAGAAACGGAAATTAATTTCATGAAACGGTTTAGACTGTATGTACTAATTCTTTTTTGATTAAAATTTTGATATATTTGTATTGCAATTTCATTTCCATGTCTCATAAATGTCTTTATATAATGCCGGATTTATATGATCAATATCTAATAACCTTTTGATTCCTTGTATTAAAATTTATCAACATATTAAAGCATGTAATTAATATTTTCTTTAATTGGAAATTTAATTAATATTTGCAGATATGAATATAATCTTCTAGTTCTCTTTTAAACATAACTGACGAAAATATATGTGTTACATTTCCTGTATTACACAACTTTGACAATCTTGTACCTCAACTTTCCTTCATCACGTAACATTGTAAAATCCAAATCTCAGTCGCAAAGTTCTCTGTAATTCTCACTAAACTTCTCTCGTTTAACATGTTTTGTATTATCATCTGTATTTTTCATTAATAAAAAAGAACTTAATCACAATCTACAATTCATTCAAATTTCGCTTCATCTTAAATATAAATCAATTAAAGTTAATACAATTTTCATTTCACTTAATTATAAGAATTACAATATATCTAACTTTTATTAAATACTTTTAATGTTGAAGTTTTTCTCAATTCCTATTAAACTTTCTTCATGTTTTGTATAATTATTTGTATTTTTCATTGATAAAAGAACACTTTCATCTCAATCAATAATTCATTAAAATTTTGCTTCATCTTAAATGTTAATAAATAGAAGTTACTATAACATTTTCTTTAAATCATCCAACTTTCATTATATTATTATTTATGCATGTGTAAGTTTTTTCTGATTCCAATTAAACTTTCCCAATTTTTATATTTTATAAATAAATAATCATAATCGTTGAATTATAAATTTTCGTTTTACCTAAAATATTAATATTTTTTTCTTTAAATTCAGATTAGTTATTAAGTAATAAATTAAACCGTAATATAAATTAATGAATTAATTTGAAATACATCTGACTTTTATTAAGTACATTTAGTGGTTTTCCATGCTTAAATATTTGGCTCGATTCGAGATCAGCAAAGAGAGGAGACGAATGCAACGGTGATTACTTAGTTAAGTTTCGGCATTGCCGATTCAAGGGCTTAAAAGGATTTACGAGTTTTCAACCGTAGTCGGTTTCATTTCTTCGATGTGTAATTTATATGACCACAAAAAAACTACAAACATTTATTCTAAATCCAAATTTAACCTATTTTGTAAAGAAATCAAACAAAAGTAAACATTTAAAAGTTTATAAAATCTATATTGTCTATTACTAAAATTGTTATTGTTTACTTCTTCATAATTATCAATGAATATATTTTCATAATAATCTTAGTTCTTATTTTAGCTAAATTTAATGTTTTGTTAATTAAAGCTAGATAAAATTTGTAGTTGTTGTACATAAATTAAATGCTGTTAGGTAATAAATTATACGTTTTCTCTTATTTAAAAACTCGTAACACGAGAAATTTATGACCTACAGCAATTATAATTACATCTAAATTATGCAACGCTACGTAGTTTTTATGTGTTATAAATTATTATTTTTTAATTATCTTCTATATTTATTGGTAAAAACAGTAAATATTAGTATTTATTCGTTTAATAACCAAGATTATGGATGTGAAATAAAGGAAGAAATTAATAAGAAAAAGCTAAATTTATGAATATATTATTTGTTCCATAAGATTTTTTAAGTGTACGTTTTTCTTATAACAACTAAAGTATAAAAATCAATACTCACTCTAACTGCGCCCTGGAGATTTCCAAAAAAATGGTAACATGAAACAAGAGAAAAAGCACAATATTAATAAAGTTGTTAAACCTTTCGGTTAATAATTCCGAACAATACGGATTTGCGTCCATAAATTGTTTAAAAACTAATTTACGGATGATCCCATGTAAAAGTCCTACGAAAGTAATTTACATGAGGTTTTCGGTTGGGATAAGGAAACTCAAATCCATTCAACGCCCACTAAAAAAACATTATTTTAATTAAAAAAAAAAACGAGAATTAATGTTATGTGCACGTCGATCATCAATCTTGGGAGCGAAGATCGTCGTCTTTAAGTTTGCTGAAAAATTAATTAAACTGGATTTATAAGGTTTCGGATGGAAGATGATGGGGAAAACCTTTTCATTCGTAGCTTAATAATGGACAATCATCTGTGCGTCCTCGCTCGCAAACAATTAGAACAAATATTTCGAACGGTTTAATTGCGGCCGCAATTAACGGTGTGCAATTAGGCTAATCGTCGTCTATATCTGGTATGTATAAGTGTGTGACGCAGATACAAAGGGCCGACGCGGATTTGAATAATCCTCTCTTCTCGTCGAGTGGCGGAGCGAGCGATAGTGTGTTATTAAGGGAAAGGATCGGTGGGAGGTGGAAATGGGAAGAGCTCAAGATTGCCTTCGCCGCTACTGCAAATTCGCGATTGCATCAAATTTTAGCTCAGTTAATTCCAACAACGACATCAGCTAAATGCGAAAATTATAAATAGTTGCATCACAACAAAAATATGTATGAGAAAGAGAGAGAAGAAGAAGGGAATAACTAAAGCTCAACTCGTTATGCAGTTGCAGATTTTGTTTGCTCAACATTACTTTGATTGCACAACTTCTCTGCACATATTTTTTTTTAAATAAGCTAAATCATATGCAAATACTATTCAGCTTCCGTTCGAACAAATTTTTACTTTATTTCCATTTATAAACTATTAATTTTAATTAGTACAAAATACCATTCAGTTTATTTATTATTTTTATAATATATTAAAGACAATTAATGAAATCAGTAATTATAATTAATCAAAATAATAAATAAAAATAAACAACAAATTTCAAATTTACTTTGATTTTAGTAATTACACTTTTAAAACTTATACCAATTCATCAATAATGTTCTCATTGATCTTTGGATATACTAATATAATAGCATTGATTCTAATGGTATTAAATTACGCAGCTTGTTATGACATCTCTGATATGAGCTGAAATCCCGGGAATACTAATTGATTCAATTACGTAAGCAGTTTACATGACTAAAAGTAATTCCATAATGTCATAATTATAATAATTATAAATAAAATTACATAATTGTTGCCTATACATAATTTTTCTATTATTTTTAATTTTATACATTGTATTAAATTTCGTTTTTTCCTTATTAATATAAAATCTAATTTAAACTTTTAGTAACTTTATAAAGAAAATTCAACAAATATATTTTAAAATTTTAAGAAAAACACATCTAATTCATTGATTTTCTTGTCCAAAATAACTTTATTTGAAATGACGGCCTAGAAAATAAGTAGATTCAATTCATACATTACTTATGGTTACATTAAAATTACATAAATTTAAGAAATGTGTAAATTTCTTTATTTTTTAAATTAAAAGTTTTTTTATGTGAAAGAAAGTAAATATTTGTCGTATAATTTCCTCACCAATAATAATTCTTTTAAATTGCATCGATTCACTTCGGTTTATTTCAAAATAATAACAATAACAAGTTATTGTTTATATAAAAGTCTATAGTAAAATATTTCTTACAAAAATTTCTACTAATTTATATTATATAAATTTGATGTGAAACAAAGAACAAATTTTCTTTTGTTCTATAATTTAATATAAAGTTTCGAAAGAAAACATTAAATTGAGAAAACGTACATTTCCTCCCCAACAATATTTCTTTTCAATTACATCATCTTTTTCATTTTACGCTCATTACAAAATAATAACAATTGCAAATTAAGTTCCTGTAATATCAAGGAAAACCCATAAAGTTCGGAAGTCGTATAAACTTCTGTGCGGAGCTAAATAAAGAAGGCGCGTACAATTTTTTTTTTATTCGTCCATTTCATTCGAGTTGCTTAGCATGAGGGATGCTGCTTCCCAGTTCACATCTTGCACCCTTCGCATTTCTTCCTCGTTTCTTCCTTATTCGTGGCATTCTGGGAACGCAGTTCCTCCTACCTCTGCCTCCTCTTTTCCAGCGCAGTTGCCACCAACCCCTCCCCGCAATTTATTTCGTAAATTAGAACGCGAAACACCTTCGAAAACCCGCTTCCATCCTACAACTTGCGCAATTAAGTCCCGGGACGTAAGTTGCTAGATTGCGAAAACACAGGAAGAATTATTGCGATTGTAAATTTTGTAATTATACACGAGGAAAAAGGGAAAACACCTTCTCACGAAATCTAGTCTCGTCTTATTTCGTAACACAGTTCTTTTTTTAATAACACCAACGGGATAATAAATTCATCCTGATGATGTTTCGCATTCTTGTTTATGGTTAATTAATTTCGGACCCTTCGCAACGTCCATTTTCTTCTTTCCTTTATCCAGTTTTCTTTCATGGAGGAGAAAACAGAAATGATTTTTCGACCTTGTCTTAATTAAAATGTGCTCAAATGTAATTCACTCAGAAGAAAAATTTAGTTTAATTGCATCCATTAATTAATCATTTCCAGCCCTGAAGGATGGAAAAAACGCCGTGTGCACGCAACTGAAGAAAGCGGCGAAACGAACATTCAAATAGAAGAGTCCCATTGTTATTTTTAATTAGTTTGTAAGAGCTTTCAGTTGCAGGTATTACGTAATGTAAAAAGAGTATCTACTGACTTTTTATTTTGCTATTGACTTTGATAAATTATTTATAAAAGCGTTGGTTTCAATGCTTCCGTTTTTTTAATATGGACGTCGAAGATGAGACATGTTCTGATTTTCCAATCATCTAAAATGTTGATAATATCATCCAGAATTGGCCAATAGGAAGAGTGTTGTGTTCCATCAAGCCATCGCCAGGCCGTACACATCTTTAAAGATGCGCCAGAAGCTCCGAGAGCTTGAAAGGGCCGCCATATAGCCCAGACCTGGCACTAATCGATTATCACCTTTTCAAGCATTTGTAAAATTTTCTTGATGGTAAAAAAAATTGGCCTTAAGAGAAGCTTGTGAAAATGAGCTTGTCAAGTTTTTTACCAATAGAGACGAGGATTCCTTTAATCACAACATTATGAAATTGCCTTCAAAATGGACAAAAGTTATCAAACAAAACGACGAATATTTGATCTAAATCCGAAAATTCTAACTTTGTTAATTTCATCATCGAAATAAAGAGAAAAAACGCTCAGAACTTTTTACTTCACCCAATAGTTATTCCATAAACAATATAAATTAAGGGCATTTTTATAGCAAAATTTCGGCTTTACAAAATTTTCAATAGATTTAGTTATAATAAAAACTGTTACAACTATAAAAAATAAATGTTACGTACTATTTTTTTTTGTATTTTATGAATGAAAGAAAATGCTTTTATGATGATTATTATAGCTGTTGCATTTGGTCTATATGAATGGAGCATCTTTTCATTCTTCTCTTTATCGATGATCAAAGGATTTGAAGGAGAATTCAAAGGAGAAAAGAATTCTGTTGAACACAAGGAATGAAATGAAATACTTCCTTTAAAAAAAGGCCGCTGCAGTAGGAGGAATCAAATAATGTTGTTTAAAAGATCAAACGAGCACGAAACTTCAAAACTGAAGGGATGATATCATTATCAACGGGCTCGATATCCAACGTCTACTATATTATAGTCGTTGCATTCATATCAGAAAGCCATATTTCTTAAATCAAAATGAAATTATTTTTTCTATTTATTAATTCTACAGAACGTTTCCTGCTATTATCACGTTATCCTTTCTTGATGAAATAGAGAGTGAAAAAAAAGAAGCGTTTTTCTTATTATCCTTTTTGGGTGTCCTCATATAATGGATAAATCCTTGTCAACAATAGAATCCAATAACGAGACTCTTTCTTCAGTATACAAGATAATATTGCTAGTTGTTTTTTTGGTGTTGTTTATAGTTTCTTAGGTCTCTTAGTCTCAATACTTTTTGGTTGGTTTGGTTTTATAACATTATAAAACAAAAAAAGAAATAATTGTCAATCATATAAGGCCCAGCAATTTCTATAATATTATACAACAAAAAATAAATAAGTTTATAACATATATTTGTTGTCTCTTAAAAATTATTTAGATAAATAAAAAATAACAACAAAATTCGGTGTATAAAACGCAGCTTCAATTTCAGCAGTGTCTCATTATGTTGCGTAATTAAGACAACAGGTTGTTGTTAATAATGTTTTTGGCTAATTAAGTTCACTCTCGTATCACGTTGTTTATGTGTTTTAATTTCGCGAACCCCTGTTCTCCCTCGTCTTGTGCGTCTTCCTCCTTATTGTAATTATTGTCTTCCCTTTTATTAAATGTAGGTCGCACCCTTGAATCTAAAGCAACAAAAAAAAAGAAAGGTACACATACAAAAAGGGGGGAATTGTGTTTTTCAATATATTTGAACGAAGGATGAGCAACACTGAGAACCAATAACCATTAGTGTAATGAATCCCGACGTGAATGCACCGAGCCTCGATATCAACGTAAACACGGCCCCCGGACAATAGACATCTACGATGGAAACGTGTTACGTAATATTATGTCTCCATTCGTCGGCGACACAAAAAAATTAATTGAATTGTTTTTCTCTACGTCGCGTTTTACAGAAATTAAAATAGATTGAGTTTCCTTACCTATTGTATTTTATAATAACATCAATGTTAGTTTATGTTATTGATTATTAATTATTTCATTTTTAATTATTTTGTATTATAAACTATGTTTCATGAGAAATGGAAAAAAATAGTAAATTCATTTTGAAAAATCGTTGCTTCATTTATATAATTTGTAAAAAA